TTAGTAATCTGAATCTCTGCCAGTGTTCTGTTATACTCTGACAAAGTCACCCAGGATCTTGTAAAACAATTAACTATGTCATTTTAATAAAACTTCTAAAATTTAATATTTCTGTTTGACATTCTTAGTATTTCAGTGTTTGACATTCTCTGAAAACCTTATGCAAATGCTTGGCTTGTGACCAGCTCTGCAAATTTGATTGAAACAATAGTTTTGTTTCTATTTTTCTCTGTAGGTTTTCACATTTGTGGAGCAGATGTTTTTATTTTTTAAAATTCTTGATGCTATCAAGATAAACTCCTCATATAGCTGAAAATAATTTGAAATTGATTTTGACTGCCTTATTATTTCAAGATCTTTGCACAGTGTGATAATGGGTTGAGTTCACCTATTGTGTAGGTACAGGTACTGCTTCAACATCAAGAACCAGTTGCCTGCAGTAGAGACTAAGAGAAGTCCAAAATATAGCAGATTTTGGCATAGACTTGAATATTATGCACAATATGTACTAAAGTGGTGGCTATTTTAAGCTTTAATAAGATATTCTGCCTGTTAGACTGCTTCCACATGGCTTAGAACAAGATGAATATGGCTGGAGAAACAATGTGAGAAATGATGAACAGATGAGGGTAGAATTGGAGTCATTCTGCATTCCCCACAAAAAAAAAAAAAAGGATAATTGAGCCCAGGTACTCTGTGGTTTCTGGCTGGAAGCAAATGTATATGCTTGTATACCATTAGTTATTAAATACTGCTGCAGGAAGTGGACAGTTGTTTTTTGCACATAAATGCAGGATATCGTTGGTTTTGTTAAGAGCAGGAATAGAGTGGCAAACCTCCTAATTTTGATCTTGAATGCAACCTGCAATTACCCACAAATAGAAAGATAACTAAATGGTTTCTTTTAAAGCAAACGTGATGGAAAAACTGTAGTAGACTTGTACCTCTTACAGACTTTATAGGAAAGTAACAGAAGTTTTGCAGGTTTGTATTTTAGTTAGTTAACAAATTATGTATCTCTACTGGTAGATTTGATAAATGAACATTTTGCTGTGGATTACCTTTAGGAAGGCAGTAATCTTTTCTGTTGTCTAACATGATTTTAGGTCAGGATTTTTAAGTCTAACAATCCAGTTCATGAAATGAATCCTTGCTGTTTGGAAGCTGTTTGGTTGGCAGTGGAGATGCTCAGATTGGAGCTGTTCACTGCTGGTTCACTCACTGACCTTCCAGTGTAAGTTCTGACCATTGCAGAGAAGGAAATACAGGTGGAAACTGGAGCAGCTGAATATTATTTTTTCTCATTTTAGAGTGCAAAATAATTATGCCTATTTTGTTACAATTTTACTTCAGTTTGTCATGCCTCATCTACAGCTAATGCTGTGGTTTTGTTGGTATTAGTCTTTTAAGGAAATTTAGTCTTTAAACACTTAGAAAGCTAATGCAAGTTTTTAAAGAATGAATCTGCCTTTTGCTCTGAGAACCACTGTTTTAAATGCAGCGTATTTTAACATTTATGGTTTTCTGTAATGTTGGGATATATAATAGAAAATACCCACTGGTATAATTAGCTGGTTTTCTGTAGAGAAGTTTGCCTTAAAGTAAATGTATTATCCTATTTCTCGAGGTTTCTCTGCACAGATAATTCTTTAAATTCTTCTGCCTTGAACTGTTCATAAAATGTGATGCATCTTGTCTCCTATATGTTGTTTCTGTGGAATAAGTGTTGCTAGTGACAAATATGAGAGCAGCACTTGGGAAAACAAAGCTGTGCATAGGAGCTAAATATTGGTATAGAAATCAGAATTAATACTTTATCACTGGAACATTATTAATGATTTATTCAAAGTTCTGTGGAGAATACATGGTCTTCTATGTGAACACAAGTCTTGGACATCTCTTCACTCCAATTAAAACAGACACATTGTCTTTGGATGGCTGGGTCTGTAATATCCTGAAGAAACCATCTGATCTTCAAAATCCTATATAAAATGCTGCTTTTGAAAATTATTGCATTGGAAATGTAGTGTGGAGATGGGTGACTTTTAATAGCAACAATTGAAATTTGAACAGTTTCTTAGGAGAATCAAGACAGCACATGGTTACCTCTGCCTGCTCTTATTTTCCTGCCCTCTTAATTCTTATGAGCAAAGCAGCTTCTCCCTACAGTTTTCTCTTCTCAAAATTGATTTTGATGTTAAGAAGTACTTGTGTAAATGCTACTATAACAAGTCACAGGGAATCATAGAATGGTTTGGACTGGAACAGACCTTAAAGATCACCCAATTCCACCCTCCTGCCATGGGCAGGGAAACCCCCTCTAGATCAGGTTGCTCCAAGCTCTATCCAACCTGGCCTTGGGGCCCCATCCTTCCAAATCTGGGGCAGCCCCAGCTTCTCTGGGCAACCTGTGCCAGGGCCTCACCAACCTCACAGCCAAGAATTTCTTCTCAGTATTCCATCTAACCCTGTCCTTTGTTAGTTTGAAGTCATTCCCCCTTGTCCTGTCATTTCAAGCCCTTGTCCAAAGTCCTTCTCCAGCTCTTGGAGCCCTTTTAGGCACTGGAAGGGACTCTGAGGTCTCCCTAACGCCTTCTCTACTCCAAGCTGAACACCCCCAGCTCTCCCAGCCTGTCTTCAAAGCAGAGGGGCTCCAGCAACCTTTGGTGTATCTCCATGACCTCCTCTGGATTCAGTCCTTATGAGTGTAGTTCAGTGCCTTACTATTTATTGGATGAGGTGGATTAACTAGCCCTGCATATGTGGTGTTGGATGTTAAAAAGATTAAACTTAAGGGAAGGTGTATGAGAAATGCTTTATGGATTGGGGAAAAAAAACCAGTCCTACTAATATTTGTTATTTTATATTGTCAGAGGTTAAGGAGAGGAGGAAGAGGAATTCTGATCTTTAAAGTAAAAAAAGTTGGTTTTAAGCTCCCTCCACCTCCTAGTTTGCATTTGTTTGGTGTTGTACCTGTAGTGGCCTGCATCATGCAGCAAAGCAGAGATTTCCTTGTCAAGATATGTGAGACTACTACAGAATTATGTGAAGCAGGAGTTAACCTTTGCTGCATTAATGGAGTGATAATTTTGAATCCAGACTAAAACCTGATTCATCAGCTGATTTTTGAATTGATTTTTTCTATTCCTAGAAGGCAGATAAGTTTTTCAGCGATTTCTGGATTTGTAAATACATCAGCAGCAGCTTGTACTGATGCAGACACAAGGCAGTATTGCTTTGCTTTTAATTAATTACAAAGCCAAATAGTATGCAGTCTATGAAGTTAAATAATAACTTTTTCTAGGGGTTTCATGAAACTTGCATCCTAACTTTACTTAATATGCATTTCTACTATTGGAAATACGAAAATGTCTTTTAGTAGAAGCAGTGGTTTTGCCCATGTTTGGATACTGGGGTCTCCCATGAATTCTTCTGATCTTGGCTGCTGGAGAGATCCCTTAACCCACCTTATTTTCATGCTCTGAAACCTTAAAATGTAAAAATGACTATAAAAAGGGATATTCCATGAACTTTTCATTGTGGGAGGAGGAACAAATGTAAAGTTTTTGAGTTGGTGGGTTTTTTCTTCTTTATTTCTTTTGCTCCAGGCTAGTTCTCCAGTTAATGAATTCCACCATAATCCCATCAGGAGAATGTGGTGATGGTTTTGTAATTTATATTGTATGGTTGTCTTAATCCAGGTTCTGTCATTGTAGCAGAAAATATGAATCCAAGCCCACCATATGATTTGGCTTTGTCCATATGGAAATAATAAACTGTAATAAATGGCCAGCTGTTGTACAACGCAGTACTGAGGGTGATTTTCTTCCAGAGTAATTATTCTTTCTGAAACTCAGACAAGCATAAAAATGATTCCCAATTTCAGGAGACTTTTTCTCTGAAAAACTGATTGTTTGGGAGAAATCAAAAATTTTTGAAACGTAAGATACTTTCTTGCATCTTGCTGTCAGGAATTGTGGAAACAGGTGTGTGATTCTAAACAAAAGAAATTTAACTTTGAGTGGGACTGTTCCATGTTTCAGCAAGTAGCTCTATCAGCACTAAATTTGTGCAATTACTGTGTGAGCCTGTGTTGGAGTCCAGCAGAGACTTCTAAAGAGTGTTAATGGATGCTGAGAACTGCTTATTTAATTTAGAGATACTGGAATGTAGGGTGATGGGGTCTTTCTTCATATTTTAACCACACAAGGGATACATTTCTCTGTAAAGTTTCCCTGAAATTTTGAGATTCAAACTTGAAAGACAAACTTTTTCCCTTCCATGTGCTGTCTTCAGAGGTATTTTTAATTTGGTGACTTGTTAAGCACAGAGTTTATAATTCTCACCAGTGACAGTTATGTCATGTGGACGACGTAAGAACAACTTGTAGGAGTCAATATTCAGGTTAAAGTGTGTCAGTGTTTAAAGCCTTTCCCTTTGCTAAGTAGCATCTGATTTGAGTACTGGATTTAATTATGACACTAATAACAGGTGTTTAAATGCTGATATAAACTGTGTAAGGAGCACAGATATTGATCAGTTGTGTGACAATATATATTGTCACTCATTGATGTTACTATAATAATTCCATTACTGATTCCAGTATACACTGTTACACTCAGACTTGAGAAGTACACACAAATAAATATTTGGAATTCATGAATACAGAACATTGTGATGGAATTTGGTGTCTTCCCATAATGGACATGTTTTTATTAAGCTGTGAACCTGCTCTCCTGTTGCAGATAGTAAATGGAGAAAGTGTAAGGAGGTTTAAGAGTCAGGTTGACCGATTATTTTGTCCCTGTTCTTGGGTGGGTTTTCTAATACAAGCAGTAAATAGACCATTTTCTTATAGGGGAATAAATATCTTGGAACTGCTGGATAATCATCCTAAACTTTATAAAAACCTAGTGACTTAACTGACCATGATGTTATATTCTTTGGGATTCGGAAAGCTGTGCTAATTTTAGGATTTTTTTTTTTATTTTATTTTGTAGCTTAGATACCAGCATGGGCTGAGTACTCCAGATCTGAGGCAAACTCTTCCTAACCTGAAAAACTTCATGGAGCTTGGACTGATGGTTAGGTGGTAAGTATTTTTTGTAATTTATAAGAAGAGGTGGGTGCTACAAGAAAATTGAAGGTAAGGATTTGTCTTAGACAAGCAGCTCCTCTCCACAAGCTGAAAATGCTTGGTGAGATTATGACCTTCCCAAAATAAAGGCTCTGTAACTGTCCACAACATTCTACTGTTTTCTTACACTCTTACAAGTTCTTCCATATGATGGGCCCACAACCCTTCTCAGAGGCTGATGTAGCAAGGGAATCCTGTTTAAAAAACAATGTTCTTCACTAGAGGGAGGTGAATTAATTGTTGTCTTAAGACTGTATTTTATGTTTGGTAACAGGTGCACCTTCTGTATCAAACTGCTTAAGCAGAACAAGTCATAACCTGGGCAGTCCCTGACTGTGTAATTCAAGTGAGCTGCATAGGAATCTGAATGATAAACAACACAACCTCTCTGTAGTATAATTGCTGCTAATGAAAATTGCTGTTGCATGTTCAGTGTTGTTGCTAAATGAGAAGCTACATTAATAAATAACTGAAGGTTATAGTATCTTCCGGGGAAATCCTGTGTACTTCCGTTCTAATTCATTTTGGAGGATTCAGACTCACCTTCCACTGTCTGCAGAAAATCAAAGCAGACAGATTTCTATGTTTTAAGACTAAAGTTAGTTTAGGTTTATCTTGCAGCAGTTGTTTGAGCAGGAGGCTTAACCAGTTCACCTTAAACAGAGGTGAACTTTACTAAATATGAAGAACAGTTTACTACTCAGTGGATTTCAGCAAGCGATGGTTTGTATTCATATGGTTTTAGTTTACGCTCTTTGAATTGTGTGCATTCATGCAGTCTCTTTGCCATTTTAGGTTAAAAGCAAACCCAAAAAAATCCTCCATGGTTTTTGTAGAAGAGCTCACTTATTTCATACATCCATTAGAGCAAATTTGTCTGTAAAGTCTCTGCTTCAGTCTTTTATGAGTTCCCCTGTTTTGCCTTGAGCTCTGGGCTAGCCTTTGGCCCTTTGGAAGGTCTGCAGAGTTTAGTGTTTGTCCGTCAAAGTTTAGTGGCTGGTTCCCTGAGCCTGGTGAGATTTGTGTTGTTTTGGTTTCTCAGGCATTACACTTAAATGATTAATACATGTTTTCACATCCCAGCTTGTGTGATTTATTGCAGCAAGCTTGCAGGTCTGCAAGCTCTGCTTCCATCTTCATACCTCTCCTGGTACCAATATTCTACTGTGTTTACTTTTGTCCCCGAATCTTTTCTGTTTCCTTTTGGGAATACTTGTCTCTGTGTCCAGTTTTTTAGTCCTGGAGTTTCACTGGCCTCCATAAAAGTAGCTCAGTTTTTTAGGTTAGCTTTTGTGGATGCAAAAGGCCCTATGCAGGTTTTGTCTTAAATCCTTTTTCTTGTGAGCAGGGAGTTTCTTCCAGCATTTGAGACCGAATCGTAGAAATATTTGGATGGGAAGGGACCTTAAAGGCATGTTGTTCCACTCCCCGATCATGGGCAGGACATCTTCCACTAGAGCAAGTTGCTCCAAGCCCTGTCCAGCCTGGCCTTGAACAATTCCAGGGATGGGGCAGCCATGCTTCCGTGAGCAACCTGTGGCAGGGCCTCACCATCCTCACAGCCAATAATTTCTTCCTAATCTCTAATCTAAATCTCCCCTCTTTTAGTTTAAAACTGTTCCCTCTTGCCCTGTCCCTCTCTCCCTCTTTAAAAAGTTGCTCTCCCTGTTTTTCATAAGTCCCCTTCAAATCCCCACTTTCGTGTAACCTGTCCATTTTTAACATTTTTAGTTAAAATAGTTTTTTTTCTTTTTGCATGTTCAGATTTACCTTTCCCAAGTTTAGGCTCTTTAGATTATGGATGCATTAAATCAAGAGACTCTGACTCATTTTCTCTCCTATTCTTCAGCTTTTTGCCTTTTTTTTTTCACTCTGTAACTTATGAGGGATAGTATGTGTGATTAATAGAAAGTAAAGAACATGCTGCAAACCTGAGCAGTCCAGCAAGATTTTTTCTTAGTGAATAGACAGTAGACTGCAAATACACGATACTCCTTTTCAATGGCTTGTCTGTAGGCAGGGAGATGCCCTTTGGAGCTGCATTTAAGGGCTTTCCTCAAAAATGCTTGAGTACCAAGGCCTTAATTTGTGTTTTGAAGCTATGTCTTGATTAATATACTGCAAGAATCAAGAGGAGCCCAAAACATCTTAGTTATGAAAACTCTGGTGGCTTGATTTATGAAGATTTCATTTTTTAAAAATGTGTTGCCGAATTTCTTAGCTGCCAAAAGATACAGTTTCATCTTAGCTTCATATTGGCAGCCTTCCTATTGCTATTGTACATTATTTTACCACTAATCTCTAAGAAGGTGAAAAACTATTACTGCTTTTTAGCACAGTTGACATGACATTGGCTCTGAACTGCTCATGGAGCTTCAAGCGTTTCAGATAGCTATAAACCAACTAAACCACCTTCATTTAGTATTCTTACTGCCATGAGGTCATAGTTGACAACACAAAAAGATCAAATGGTGTTTAGGTTTTTGTGGGGTTTTTTTTAAAGCATTCTCATAGCAAAGAGCTGTAGCTGTGGATTTTGGCTTTTGGCCAGGCAATCAAAATTTAGTATTTTGTCCAGCTGTGATCCAGTAATGTTCCTCACAGGAAACATTTTGTGTGGAGGAAAAGATACATATTTGAGCCTGTAAATTGTATTTTGTCCCTCATATTGCTTTACGGTTTCTCTGAGCCACTTGCAGGCAGCTTGAATAATCACAGGTGAATCTGACCGAAGAAACATTTTTATAAAAACTGCAACCAGAATGTGTTCACTAAGAAAATAATTTCAGAAATGTTTGTGGCTTACTTCAGTGACAGTTTATCTCACCTGTTTACAGTGGGGAGTCTTCCAGCTTAGGGCTAAGAATGTTCAAACTGACTGTTTGTTAACTAGCACAAATTAATATTTTGGGAGAAAATAGCTACTTTGTAAATTTGCTGCCAGAGAAACTTAGAGCTGAAGTCAGACTGTTAGAATTGACTTTTGAGGTTTGGATACAATTGGCTCTGAGCAGGGCAGGGAGAGGCAAAATTCAGGATTCCTGGGACACAGGAGCAGATGGTGATGGGTCCCTCAGGGCTGAGCTCCAGCAGTGCCGGTGAATTCTCCCCGCAGTAAACGACAGCCTGGCTGTCCTCTAATGCCAGAGACAGAGAAAGAGAGCACAGCTGCCCCCAACCCCATTTTTTACCTGTCCCCAAAACTTGTGGTGTCTCTGTTTCTCTGGAAGAAACTTCCCGGAAATAAAAAAAGAAGTATAGCCAGATGCTCTATTCCTTTCCTGACTTCAGCTACCTTCTTTTGTCTTTCTTAAGTACCCATAAGTATCCAGAAGTACCCAGTAGTTAGTTTCTTAGCAACTTATGGGAAAAAAATTCTATATGTAAAAGAAAAAAAAAGAAAGAACCCAACCCCCAACAGTGGCTCTTACCTCTCTATTTCATTGTCTGCAACTGTGTATTCTGTAAAACAGCTTCTCCTTAAGGTGATTTGAAGGTTTTGTGGAAGAGACAGAAGCCCTACAGATGCATTTAGGGGTAGCCTAGGAGGAGGTAATACTGGAGAGGAAATTCAACAGGAGTAGTACTACTCACTGCCCTCCCATGGGGACACATTCCTCACAGAGGGACTTGTTGTAATCTACTTTATTCTATTTATAAAAGGGAGCAAAGCAAGAAAAGTAATGTGGAAAAGGATCTACACTAGAGACCACTCGTAACTGCTGTTACAAGATGTGGTTTCAGTTTGAACAATTTTGTGTAGTGGTTTTGGTTCGCCAGTCTGAGTTTCCCAGCCAACGCACCAATTAATGTAGTGGGTGCAAACGTCAGTGCACCCACTAGAATTATTTAATCATTTTCTGCTGCAAGATAAGGGTTAGGAGGAGAGCAAAGCAGGATCAAAACTTTAAAGGGTATAAAGAAAATGTTATTAACGGGGCTAAAAGAAAAAAAACAACTCAGAATGAACCTTCAGAACACTTTTCTTCCCCCCACACCCTCTTTTCTTTCCCACTGACAACGTAAAGAGATGAAACCTGGGACTTTTAGTCAGTTTGCCACCTTCAAAATAATCTTTCTTCAGTTCTCTTAGGGAGAGGAGTCTCTCTTGCTATGCCATGGAGACTTCTCCACAAGAAACAGTTCTCATGGCTTCAATGTCACAGTGAATTATCCAGCTGGGAAAGGAAAAACTGTTCACAGTGTGAAAGTTCCTTCCATGCCTTGCAGTTTTCCCACAGCTGCTTTCATGGGCCATATCAACTTATAGGGTACTAATTTAAAGGTGAGCTGCTATAGCATAAAAGCAAAAGTTCTCTTCAGCCATCTCTAGGAAACAGAGGTTTTCGTCTTCTACTCCTGGGGTAAGGTTTCTCATCTCTCTCATTTCTTTGTGTTCAACTTACTTCAACATCTGCTTACTTAAACATGGGTGCTTCTGCTCACAGGTGTGGCTAGAATGGGACATCCCCCCAATGCATTCCATGAGTTACAGGGGGAAAGAAAAAGTCTGGTGTATCAATTATATCTTAACCATAGCCTTACAAGAGAATTTCTGCCCAAGACTAAGGCATCTCCTCAATCTCCTCCCATCTAGGATTTGACTTCTTCACTGACCTCACTGTCCCATGTTGTTTTCTCTACGTGTCTTCATCCTTTCCTTTTTCCTGATTAAGGAGAGAATTGGTGTTCGTAGGTTCATTTGTTCTCAAGCTTTATCAATTGAAACGGTTTTGTATAGAGTTCTGCAGGGCTGGGAGGTGGATCTCATCCAGGCTTTGCATCGGGGAAATCACTCGCTGTGCCTCTCTGTTGGTGACGTGCTTTTCGCCGATGCCGTGCAAGTCGTGCTGGCTGCTGGTGCCACCCTGTGTCTTCTCCTCATGCAGGGCACCAGAAAAAAAAGAAAATAAAAGCTGCTGCTGCTGCTTTTGTCATTTGGATGGCAGCATGGCTGGCTAAAAGCAGCCAAGCAAACAAAGTTCACTGCAAGCCATGCTGAGATAGCCACGCTGCGCGGCGCTGCCCCAGCACGCCGATTTCGGCCAAGCGGTTCCAGCCATGTGGCCACTCCTGGCCTTGGGGCCATTCCTGGTGCTGGTCCCGGCCACATGGTTGCTCCCGGCATTGGGATAGGCCCCGAGGGCATGTCCCAGCAGTGCTGGCAGAAAAAAGGACTGGTGGGCTTTCCAGGAAGTGGCTTGGTCCTGCTGGGAAGGGGCCCCAGCCAGCCCACTGGGATGGGGTCTGCATCGCAGCAGAGCCCAGCCTGGCCAGCGCTCAGTTATCTGTTCCAAGGCCAGAAGTAACAGAGCTTTCCATGGGCTTACCTGTCCTTAAATATGTTTTCACAGCCCTTTTAAGTGGTTTAACTGGGTGTCAATCTTCAACACTAGCCATCTGATTGGGTGCACCACAGGGAACCCCCACAGGGAACCACCCTCACAGTCCATGGACTCCCTCCCCCCCTGAAAACCAAACAATCTGTTAAACCACAACACAAGATTTTCCCGTGCCAGACAAAACATATCAGGCCTTGAGCAGAAGGAGTTTCTTTTAAATGGTGTTCATGAAGGAGTTTCATACTGACAGTGGTTGAATCTTGGAATTGTATATTCAGTAGATCAGTAATAGCTTGTTTTTTACTATTTTTTTTTTAATTTGGAAGGAAAATGAACCAGCTGCTTATGTTAATGTATAGCATGCTATTTATATATAGGGTGGTGGTTATAGTTGGATAAATATTGAGCTGATGAAGGAAAGTTCTCATAACACACCTGAGATGATGTAAAGTGGACTTTCCAAATTATAGAGCTTGAGACAGTGAAAGCGGTTTGTAGAACTCTGTTACAGTAAAATTAGACTTGTAAATTAGGCTTGATTGGTTCATGTTCCTTAAGAATTAGAGGTTGGCATTTGTCCAAAAAGTTTTGGAATGACTGGCACAGAAAAGCAGAAGATCTGGCAAGAATAATCCTCTGCAAATAGTGAAGTTGGTGTGGTTTTTCTCCTTTGTGCAGCTGTTATTACTCACTTTTGAAGAGTTTATGATGACCCAGTACGGGCCATAAATACATAAATATATGGTCTATAGTAATATTCCATAAGTGCAACTTGGTCCTATAAAATGGTGTTAACAGTGCAAATTAGCATAATGTGATGGTTTCTTGGATGATTGGCTTGCCAAACCATAGAGCTGTGTAAGTGTTCCTACAAGACCTCACTGTTTTTCACTACAGCTGTCCTCTGGGCTGTCTTCTGTGGTTCATGCAGCACTAAACGTGTTTGGGGTTTTAGCACTTTGGGATAGAAGTTGTTGGCCAAACAGAGCCTGGAGTTGTGATAAAACAGTTGCTTCAGCCTTTGATTAAACATCTGTATTGCTCATGAGCGTGCCTGATGGGTGTGATCTATTCTTTCCTTCTTTTATAGTGATCGACACCATACATCCAGTGCAATTCCTGTTCCAAAGAGACAGACCTCTAGCTTCGGCAGATTGGATATTGGTTTTTCCAGTGGGCTTCCTTCTCCAGATAAAGGACTCCGAAAACGAGCCAGCACAGGAACCGAGAGACTACAGTACAAAACTCCTCCTCCTAGTTACAACTCTGCTTTAACACAGCCTGTTGCTGTCACAGCCTGTGTGGGAGAGCTGGATAAAAAACCTGGACCCATATGTTCTTCCTTGGACACCTCCATGGACTCCTCCAAAAGAAATACCAAAAAAGGCCAGGACTTGTGCAGTAGTTTGAATGGAGAAAACGGAAGCCTAAACAATACCCAAGACAGGCAGGAATCTTTCCTAGGACATTCTAGTGCAATAAATGGGGCGTTTCTGCCTGGCAAGTGCTCTGGCACCATGAACAACGAGCAGCCCTGTGCGTTTCAGCCCTCACTCAACCCCGTGCTTTGCTGCACTGTGGAGCAGGCAGAGGAGATCATGGGTATGGAAGCGACAGGATTCAGCGCGGGAGATCAGCTGGAAGACTTTACCTCCATCCCAGTGGAACATGCTGTAGCGGTTGAGTGTGACGAACAAGTCCTAGGGGAGTTTGAGGAGTTCTCTCGAAGGATCTGTGCACTGAATGAGAACATGTCCAGCTTCCGCAGACCTCGTAAAAGTTCGGACAAGTGAGCTCGGACGGAGATTTGATAGCAGACATTGAGGTGAAATCAGTGGTCTGGAATAGAAATAAAATTGCACTTATTCTTTATATTAATTATGAAAATAAAAAAAGCTAAAGTTGTTCCTATGGTGTTAGACAAATGGACTTGAGCACAATAACACAGGATCATGGTGTATTCACAGCCCAGGTAACTTCATTCTGCTTTAAGTCCTTTTCTCTCTGGTATTTATAATCTGTTGGAGGTTTTGTGGGATTTTTTTCTTAGGGCATTGGAATCCATTTATAAAGGCTTTTCTGAAAACAACTTCTAGTGCTGATCAGCCCCTTCTATGAATGTTTGTTATGTTCTTAATTATTATTTAGAGTTAAATTTATTTTAATCTTTTCAGAAGAAAAACCCTTTAATTTAATATATTTTTACGGTAAGATGTCTTGACATTCTCCCATGTACTCCTGTGTTTGCTTGAGCAATGTAGTCAGTATTAGAGAAATACCATGAATTTGCTACAATTGGACAACTTTATTTTGGCTGTGCTCTGTAGCCTTTGAAGTTGTAGTTTGCACTGAGGAGTCTTCACTTGGCAGTGTGAACTTGCCAGAGAATGAGCACCTGTGTGATTTTTTTGCAGTTTCCTTGCACCTGGTTAATCAGAAATGACATTTGGGGGTTTTTCCACCCCTCTTTTCCTCCAAACTTGCTCTTCCTACCAGTGGAAACCTTGAGAAGTTTTGTGTAATAATCTCAACCTGACCATTCCCCACTTAGGGTGGGCACAGATCTCATTAGAGACTTAATGAACCCAGTACCAACATGGGGTTCAGCCGCCACCCTCCAAGGTGTGCAGTGGGGACAGTGTGCCCTGAGACACTTCAGACATCTTCCAAAAAACCCAGACTGGGAATGAAGCACTTTGGAATCAGGTGAATGTGTGGAATTGCTCCATCCTCTGTAAAAAGGAGGCACTTAACATTATTCATCTGAATTTTTATTTTTTTAACCATCTATACTTTGAGGGAAGAAACTTCCAGTGGTTTGCTGGAGGTGCAGTTTGCTGTTGGGTAGGTTACCACTGTCACATGTGTTCAGCTGCACTAATGAGAAAGTAATTTGCAGCCTGCTTTGTGATTCCTGGTATGTATTTCAATTTGGATTTCATTGCTCTTGCTTTCTATATTGTATACCCAAGAATCTGAGCTCAGTTGTGAGCTCTGAAATATAAAAGTATATAGCAGTAAAAATACTTCATCTTGTCTGGCTTTTTTTTCCTCTCCCTGGTTTATGTTTTCTTATGAACCCACAACCTAGTCTTTTCCTAACTTCACTGTAAGGCTAGCTGAAATTAACTTTTTAAAAATATGGATATGTATAATCTCAGCTTTCTGTTATCAAAACAAGATGTGTTTGTGAGAACCGGTATACATAATAGCACTGTTCTAGAATATGCATTTTTCCAGGTAACGTCTTAATGATTGCATTAAAACTATATTCACATTTTTTCGGTTAGCTTTTAATGGTTGTGTCCACAGTTGAGTGGTTGGATAGAGCCTCTCTTTGCTGTCTTCAGTCTGTCCCAGGATGAAGTGCTAGGTGGGAACACTTGGATACCTTGATTTTGAGACACCGAGCATGGTTTCAGGTACACAGTTGGACACATCCATGAGTATCTTCTCCCCCATATTAGCTCCTCTGTTCAAACCCCATGAAAACTTCCCCAAAGAAAGTGCTGCAGAAGCTTAAAGCGCTGCTATCATCTTTGGAAAGAACAGGTAGGAAGCCCTTGCTGTCCTTTGGCCTAGAGAGGGAGAAATGAACACCTGAAAGAACAGCACTTCGTGGTGATGAGCATAAGATACTCTGTCCTGGGCCCTGTACCATCTTCTGATACCAGTATAATTTCAGGTGGAGTTCAGTAACTTTAGGTCAGTTTTGCACTGTGTGGGATGGGATCTGGCATACTCGAGGCAGCACAGGCCTGTTTGTGCACACACTCATGTTCCTATATAGCAGAAAAGCATTAGCTTGTGTGTGATGGTGACTTTTCAAAGCAACCCAAAGAGTAGTTGTGAAGTCACTGTGTTTCGTAGGTGAACATGGAGTGTCTCAGAGCAATTTAGCAACGTGTGAAATTAGGTTTGTACAGCATCAGTGGGACTTTTTTTTCCATTAGTTTTTATTTCTCAGGTTGCACAAACCAAATGAAGTCTAGTTCTCCTCCCCAATGTTGTGTTGCTGTTCCTGTTTAACCCTTGCAATTGGTAATGTTCTAAACACTACGGTTGATTTTTGCATCTGTTGCAGAAAGCTGCTCAGATGGGCTTTTTATGGATGTATCTTTAGTTAGCCTTAAATTATCCCTGTGTTTCTCTTCCACTCCTGCCACTTTCCATGTAGCAGGTGGTGTGAGGTGGGACAGCATCACAGGGCTGATGAAGCATTGACCAGCTCCTTGTGGCTGTGAGGAGGGGGCTTGTACAGACTGCAGCTGTGTCATAGCTTTCTCCTTTTGGTGTTTATTTTTTTTTAACCCCCTGTAAATTACTTTGGAAATAGTGTAGTGGAAGAGAAACAAACAGGAGGTTTGAGGGTGAGATAATGGATCACAGTGTATGTTCACTTTTCAAGAGCCTTTCAGTTCCTGCACAGCTGTGGCACTTAAAAGTCTGCAACTGTCTGCAAATTGAGAAAACATTTCATTGCAATCTCAATCTAATCCCTCATTAGAAATCCTTAAGATTTTTGAGCATATTAGTTTTGGAATATCAGATCCCACTATATTTTTATAGCAAGCACAACAGCATTGGTTTATCCTTGCTTGACCAGGTATTTAAAATAAGCAAGACCAGAATATCGCATAATAAATGACACATTAAAATTATGTTGACAATTGCAGGAAAGCTCATCTGTCTTTATAAAATAAAATTGATTTGTATCTCTCAACTTGTGTGTGTTCTTCAATGGCTCCTTAGTGTTTGTTTTCTTTATGAGCCTGGTTTAAACCCCAGTAACGTTCCCAGCCCCAAAACTCCTTGGCTTATTGTTCATCAATTCAATATTGCTTCCAGTGTGAATGGTTGGGCATCAAGATTTGCCTGAAGAGCTGATTGCCTTGATGGCTCCAAATCCTGTCTCAGAAGAGCTGGTACTGCACTTCTTTTTCATGCTTCTCCTCAAAAGATGGCATGCAGCTAGAAAAATAGCTCCAGCCTACATTGGATTAAGCTGGATTTGTAGATGTTTATGGGTAGTGGAAATACTGTGTTCCTGCATCAGGGAAGCACTGCTACTCATCCAGCACCTTCTGTGATTCCAGCTAATAATCAACATATGTCTGCCCAAAATGCTGGTGTGTGCCTTGAGGAGGAGTCGGCTGCATGAGTCTTGGCAGGAGTCTGTCCACAGCTCATGAGTCTGGTGGGAAGCAGTGAAATGTGAAGAGCTACAGGGACTCTCCAGGCATCCTTAGGAGGTTTTTTTGGGTTAGTTCTTTTTCCTCCTACCCAGTCTGTCAGCAGAGAGTAAAAACCCAGGGCATCATCTGTATAGTCCAGGAGCTGAAGTGGGAAGATACAGGAGGGAAATTTACTTTAAACTATCTTACAATGTTGAACAGCATTATTGAAATGTAGTTGCCTGAAAGCGAAGAATTGGAAAGAATCAGATGGAGGTGCTGCTGGAAGAGTGGACTTAATTTAGGTAAACCTTAGGTTCTTCTGTGCTTTATTCTGTCACCTTCAAATGGCCAGAGAAGGTATGTCTAATTGCTGTCTGGATTTTGACCTTTTTCAGGTGGAAGTGTTTTAATGTGCTCTGTCTGCTCTGAAATGATGTGGCATAGCTGGTATCTCTGGGCAGCCATGAGCACCTCCAGTCGGCAGGCAGGCTGTTCTTAATGCCAGGTGAAAAAATACTTTCCAGGGGAAAAAACACTCATGATTCAAATATTTTAATTGCTCGTTATTTTAATATTAGTTTATTTTGTATATGGTAAATTGCAACATTGGTTTACAATTTTTCATTAAATATTATGAAAGGTTTTTTTGCCCTACATAACTGTGAGATGTCATGTCTGCTGCTGCTCAATTTAGTGTTGAATGTATTGCATTGACTGGCTCAACATATAATCTGCAGGACTCTTCAATTTTGCAATCTAGGTTACTTCATTAGAATCATAGAATAGGCTTAGAAGGGATGTTCATAATCATCCAGTTCCACCTCCTGCCATGGGCAGGGCACCTCCCACTAGACTTGGTTGCTCAGAGCCCAGTCCATCCCGGTCTGGAGCACTTCCAGGGATGGGGCAACCCCAGCTTTCCTAGACAACCTGTGCCAGGGCTCCACCACCTTCACAGGGAAGGATTTTTTTCCCAATATTTCGTCTAACAATCTCTGACAGTGGAAAGCCATTTGCTCTGGTCCTGTCATTCCAGGCCCTTGTTCAAAGTTCCTCTCCAACTCTTTTGCAGCACCTTTAGGCAGTGGCAAGGGCACTAAGGTCTCCCTGGAGCCTTCTCCAGGATGAAAAATTCTATTTCTCTTGTTTTTTTCTCATGGCAGAGCTGCTCCAGCCCTCAGAGCATCTTTTGCTGACGGTGCTCGAACTGTGAGCTGAGCCTGGACTTCCATGAGTCCATCTGTCCAGCTGCCTTACCTAGTGTGTTTCTTAAGTCTCTGTTAAAAAGGAGTTTGCAAATCATGTTGTCTGGTCTTGTCTCAGGTGTTAAGTGAAACCATGGATGAGAAGCAGTTACAGAATCACAGAATCGCAGAATCACAGAACAATTTTGGCAACCCCTGAACTGCCATAGCACACTTAGGTTTATGTAAAACAGATGTACAAACATAGAACACTCTTACCTGCCTCAAAATTAAATGCAAAATGTATTTATTTTGAAATACAGCAATAAGGTAGCTCAGTCAGTTAAGCTGCACAAAAATCTGTAAACCTTGAACATGCAGAGTTGGTACACGTAGAAAACCTGCCTGCCCAGCCATTGTGTTTCTGCCAGGCACAAGATGTGAGATTTACCTTGTGGACAGGGCAGGCAGAGGAACTCCTCCTGTTGGGGAGGTGTTTCTCTCTTCATGCTTCATACAGAAGGTGGCAAAATGGTGACATCACGATGGATGGCTGGGTTACCTATCCCTACTGAAACCTGAATCCCAGCAGTATCTCTTGTTGACTGTTCTACTGATGAGTCTTTTAGGACTTCTCCTTTCACAATGGCACTATCTAGCTGGCCAGATTGCTGCCAACACTGCCAATGCCACCGCTGCTAAGTGCATTTATTTTTGTCTGAGATCTATACATGCTACAAGCAAGGCATTTTTTGGGAAGTAAATCTCCTTTTTCTTACAGGGTGTCTCCAAAGGAGGATGTACACAGAATTCCTTGTCCTCCCTTGACGGAGGTCTGCTGCAGAAAACAATCTGTCTTTTTTTCAGCCCTTGCTTTTCTGATTTTTCTTTCAGGAGTCTGGTTTCTCCAGCACCAGTTGTGTTGTGTACTCAAGCAGGACACCATCAGTTCCTGTGCAAGAGAAGGACAAAAGCAATTGTATGGTGGTTTTTCTGCAGTCTGGGAACACCTTCTTTAAAACCCTCTGGGCAGGCTGAAAGTTACCTGGAATTCTCTAAAAACATTCCTTATTTTCTGTTTCTCTGTTACATTTGCAACCGCAAAAAAAATTACTTGTTTTGGAAAGAAATTGATAACTTCACATATTTTTCAGATGGCCTTGAAAGGCAAGTGCCCTATGGATTCTGTATGGCTTCTCTACCTATTGATGTCTGTCACATCTCCCTTTGTCCTGTGTGGGTCTTGGTCTCTTCTCTCAGTGAATAAATGATAGGACAAGACAAAACAGGCTCAAGATGTGCCACAGGAGATTTAAATTTGATACCAGGGAAGCTTTTTTCCCCAAAAGTTGATGTCCATCACCAGCACAGGCTGCCCAGGGCAGTGGTGTAGTCCCCATTCCTGGAGGGGTTTAACAGATATGTGTATGTGGCACTTGGGAACTTGGGTCAGTGATGGCCTTGGCAGAACTTGGAGAACAGTTGGACTTGTATCATGGGGAGCTTTTCCCACCTTAATGATTCTGTGATTCTGTGTTTATTCAGAATGTTGACTTGGGCAGCTAAAAACTCTTGAAACTACAGCATCTTCTCATTTAATTGCTTGGTGAATTTAAGCACGTTCAGCCATGTTCCTGCTGAACATTTTTACCATCTACCTGGTTTTGTTCTAGCATCTCACCTTTGGATTTCATATTCCTCATCTACCAGATGGACCCCTCCTTTCACAGATCACCTTTCTTGAACTTTGAACACTGATACAAGGCAAGTGCAGGTCCACAGACTGTGGCAGCACTCTTTACCTTTGCCTCCAAGTGTGCCTTTAATAGCCTTTTCCCCTGAGCTAGCAGGAAATGTTCTCATGCTGGAGTAAGTGGAGGGCTCTGGCTGGCTTGGCTCAGTGTTTTTATAGTGATAACTTTGTCAATAATGCATGGTGTGACAACAAAAGTGGTTTGGCTACCCTATTGTCCATTGAGGAGGCTTGCTAAATTGGGGTAGGATTTGTCCTGGGTGATAATTCCAAGATGATGTCAGCTTTGCTGGGAACTTAAAGAGCCAAAGAGGGAAGCTTTAATCCTCCCTGATGTTAGCCAGATATCAGGTGCTGGAGCGTGTGGGTTCCTCTGTGCAGCAAAGCTTCCAGCCTTAATGAAAAGTGTTGTTGTCTTGAGCAGAATTTGTCTAGCTGAGGAGCAGTGGAGTAGAGGAACATTTTTCATGCTCTTTGGCTAAGCATCTTGGAACTTGTGCCTCAGCTGTGATTTTCAGCATAAGATAAACAAGCAAAACAGACACCATTGATCATTCCCTGCCTGCCAAAACAAATGAGTCCCAAAGCTTTTCATCATTTTCATTACGAGCCTGTTCAGCCCCAGAACAGGCTGCCCAGGGCAGTAGTGCAGTCCCCATTCCAGGAGAGATTTAAAAGCTGTGTGGATATGGCATTTGGGAACAAGGTTAAGTGCTGGGTTTTGCGTGCCGTAGGAATGGTTGGAGTCGATCACGTTAATGATCTTTTCCGACCAAAATGATTCTGTGAACTACCTTCTTCCCTGACAAAACCACTGTGAAACAGGCGTGACTTTAGTTTGACCTAATGTCCTTCACTTTAATTTTGGTGCTAGGGTAGTTAGTGAAAGTAGAGCAAATTAGAGGCTCTGGAATCTGAATAACACAAGCAGTCACTGGAACGGAGGTGCATGAAGTTTCCAAGGGTGATTTTTAATGACTTGGCTAGGACAAATGCTTCTAGCCTGAGATTGTTCCCAGTGATTGGAAGCCAGAAGGAGGAGTGGACAAAGGATGGAGATGACCAGCTTCTCATGCCCCTGAGTGTTTGCAGGGAAGAAAAGAGGCTGCAAGTGCATGGAAATGCCATTCCCAACTTTGGTAATTCACGGGGGTGCATGGCCATGGTCTGCCAGATGATAGCATTGTGCATGTGCAAGGCAGAGGAAGTTCAGTGCTCCCTCAAAGCAAATGAAGTTTTGATCTTATCCCCAGATTCACCATAAACAGGTTAGAGAATTATGGGGTAGAGTTCTGAATAAAGGTTTATGTTTGTTTTATTTAAATTTTTTTAAGACTTCAGTCCTATGATCTTTGGTTGGAGGAACCAAACTTCATCTTCCTTTTCTCCAAGTATTTTCTCCATCCAGATAACTACAAAATGTTACGAGTCTCTGTGAGAAGAATTTAGGAGGAAACTTTGGGGAATATGACATTAATTAAGGAGAATACCAAGAATAATAACATTAGCAACTACTGAATAGAAACTTCAACAGAACCATTCATTTAGAGATGGTGTGTATTTGGACAACACTCTTGCACTCTTGGTTGGTCTTAATGATCCTTGTGGG